AAATACCCCCTTTTCTACGATTTTCTCGGGAAAATGTTCCCGAGACAGATCGTCAAAAAGTACCCTCTTTCCCGAGAAAATGGGAACGCGCATGCGGCCCCTATGGATCTGAGTGGGGGGGGGGGCGTGGTACACAAGCATGCCATCGAGATAATACAAAATTAGTGTGTTCGAGTCCCGCTCAGAGCTACCGTAAAAAACGTAAATCAAATAAACTGAAATCACCCAAATCATAACAAGTAAACAAAAAACGTCCCGAAAAAATGATTAATCTTACGAAACTCCACCATGCAAAACTGAATGAATATAAAATAATAAATAACTTAGGTCTGAAACTGAAGGACGCGCAATTTGTTCAACTTTTATCAGATTGTGACAAGAGATAAACAGAAGACCCAAGTCAAGGTAAGTTTTGTCACGATGTCGTTCCCTATATTACGAGAAAAAAAATCAGGCAACAGACGAATATCTTCTGTGATGTTGTCTTTGGAATTGTTGATTGAGGGTTTGAGTTGGTCTTGGCGAGAACACCACGAGAGACGCAGTCTTGGGTCAGCCTTGAGATAGTCTTGGGGACTTTTCCCCAGGACGTTGCGTCTTATAGAGTACTCGACTAAAGACGAGAGTTATGTGATGAAATTGTTTTTGCTTATCTGTTAATCGACTTAATTAGCTGATTACGAATGAATGGTTGTGTTATATCTGGCATCGTTTAGGCCTATGCGAGGTCCTGCACGGAAATTGGCTCAGTGATTTGGAACTAGTTACGAGATAACCGTCGCTATTTGGACTACTATTTCTGACAGTTGGTATTAGCAATTATTAATGTAGTGAACGATTAATCAAAAGATATGACGTGTTCAGTACTTAGTGTGATTGGCTTTATGATTGAAGGTTACGCCCTAGAGTCTTTTTACTGCTTTGTAATTGGTTTAAGTTTTGAAAATGAATAAAGAGAGTTTGAGTTGGTCTTGGCGAGTACACAAGAACAGACGCAGTCCTGGAGAGTCTAAGGCAGTCTAAGCACAGTCTTGGGACATAGTCTTGGGTCAGCCTTGCGATAGTCTTGGGGACTTTTCCCCAGGGCGCTGTGTCTTATAGAGTGCTCGACTGATCGACGAAGACGAGAGTTGAAACGTATTTCGTTGTGTGTCTTATTTGACTGTAAAGTTTAAGTGACTTTCCCAGTCCCGTACCTCAAGGGGACGCGATAGAGAGACGAGACGAGATTCCCCTTGACGAGTGTGGAGAACCCCCATAGGAGAAGAATTTCCCCCCTGATAGTTAAGACGTATTTCGTTGTGTGTGTCTATTTGTCTGTAAAGTTTTCCCGATCCCGTACCTCAAACCCGGGGGGCGGGCTACTTCCATAGAAGTGCAATACGGGTATGTGCCGCCCGACTGGGGTGTCATTTCACATTTTTTTGTTTAGAAGTGGGTAGTCATTTATCAATGTTTTGGTTTAGAAGTGTGTAGCAGTTTTTTTACTTTTTCACAAGGTCTTATATGCAAAGTCATCAGGTATCGACCTGAAGAGTCTATAAAATGCGTCGCCCGGGTGCGCTTACTTGTTGCGAAAGTTGGGAGCTAGGTGTTTGTTTTTTTGCACCGATGTCTCGTATCTTCATGGATGATGTCATTCCTTATCAGTGACATCCTACCCCCCAGCTGACACTGTGTGTGCGGTACAAGTTAAGCCATGTAGATTGATGAAAACATGTCTGTTTAGAAGTGGGTATATAAATAGAAAAAAAATGGTTTAGAAGTGAGTATGGTTTATGAGAGATGGGCTGCACACCCCTACTCACTTAAGGTGGAAGTAGCCCCCCCCCCCGGACCTCAAACAGACGTTATAGAGACATGACGAGAATAACCCCCATGACATAAGTCACAAATATTTGTCCATACATTTATTCTTTTAATTCAACAACTTGTAATGGTGGGAATTAATCAACCGCGACTTGTTTACACCAAAATAAGCATCAAATATTTGTCCATACATTTATTCTCACAATTTAACAACTTGTAATGGTGAGAATTAATTAAACATGACTTGTTTAATCATTTGACGTCATTCCAACTTACCCGCAGACAGTGCACAACAGAGTATCATTATTGAGCTACAATTATTAACAGGAACGTGTCTTGGCATTAGGGTTTGGGTCGGGTAAGGTATGGGCAACACATTTATTAACAGGAGTACGAAGTATGAATACAGTTGACAGCTGCAAGTCACATGCAACAACAACAACAACAACAACAACAGACACGAGGATCATTACTGTTTTCCAAATGGGTCCCTTCTTTTGTATTGACCCCCTAAAATAATATATCGTCCTTTTAGAATGCTTTGACCCACTAAATATGAATATTCATGAGCACAGAAACTTCACATCATGAATAAATTAGCATAATTTTTTGAAAATTTTCATAAAGTATTGGTACGTCTTCTGGAACTATGCCCAACAAATTCTCACGAATACAAAATAATACGTGACGTATTCCTTTAGCACTCAGATAACTTTATTGATATTTTAGTTGTTTAAAGTAACCATAGGAGGCGCTCTTCATTCTAATCGCTAACATCAGATGTCGCTCTACCGATTGTTTGCACTGTCAAAGTCTAATATTATAAATCACATTATCAGTTTTAATCTAGAGGATAGTTCGTGCGTGTCAGCGTCACTGAGCGGCCGTTTTTTCTGTCGAAGAGCATCGTGGTGTTCTTTATAACATGGCGTGCAGTATAACCAGTACCATGGCGCAGGTAAGTGCAGTAAAGTCACCGTACACACGAGTCAGGGCACGTGGTATTACCGTGATATTACTATGCCAGTCACCGTCCCGGAGATGTTGCAGAATGTTCACTTGTATTACTCACGAGGTCGGCGCACAGTGAAACTTAGTTCATCCAGGGTGCGTTTTTTTGTAATAGTACATTGACCGGTGTATTCGCACCATGTGATTGAGGTAGTGAGAACCACTATAGTCTGAAGCTTTCCAACTGATCACTACGTAACTTTTACGAGTATACTTTTAGAATTAGAAATCGCAGTTCAGCAGTAATGATATCCATACTATCCGTGACACATACACAGATGTCTTCTTCTTCTTTTTTTACAGTGATTTCTAAATCTAGAAAGTCATTCTTAATCGAGATATTCACATTGATTCATGTTAGGCACGGACCAGACTGTCTGGTGATAGTTTTGGGTGTCACCCGATTGTTTGTAGGTCCATGTGTGACCTAAGATGGATGTGTAATCTCGGCTATAATTCATAACAAAGAACTGTAACATCGTCAAAAATGGCAATAAATCGCGTTGTGACGTGCTTTATTTGTCAGAGCTGTGTCCTTTGACTTCTTAGAGTTTAGTTGGTGGTTCGCTGACTGGGTTCCTGCAATTTCTCCTCCGTAGTATGTGTACTAGTATGCTAGGAATTTTGCGATGTGGAATCCGCTAATTTTTTTTAATTTAAATCTATGCGAGTATGTAAAATTGCAATAAATTAAAATTGTATTTCGGCAAAATATAGTTTGAACGGTGTTTGAAGTCTTTGTACTGCGAAGTAATACGCGTAAAATAATACATACACAGTTACGGTATTCGCAAGATATCCACATTGGAAGTTTCTTGCTAATAGCCGAACATCACCGAGCAGTTCCGTGGATTCGGTTTGTAATTTTTGAGTTTTCGGTATTTTCATGGTTTCATCAAGTAATCGAGTCGCACAGTGTCCGTCTGTGACGAAGGATTGATAATCTGATCGTGTATTGTACGTCGTGTATTTATTTTTATTTCAATATATTATATTTTATAATATTTTATAATATTTCATATTTTTTTTTCTCTATTGGACTATCAAAGATATGGACTACATTGCAAAATCTTAATTTGATGAAACAGCAATTTGATAGTATGCACTCCGGGCGTTTGAGTTAGATATACAATTTATTATGTCCTTACTTTTTTTTTGAATTTATAGAATTGATTATTTTACTAGCGTTACCATTTTAATTTCTCTCATGACCATGGACCACATGAATATGCGGTGAGTAGCGACCACGGGATACATTGTAGTGAAGCAAACTTTCCAAATCGTATCTTCAAAGGAAATGGTAATCAATGATGAAAATTTTCCGTTTTGGAAAATTTATTCGTCTTTTTTTTCTGAAAGCAATTGATTTGACAAGAAAATTCAGAAGAATTACTTATGATTTTATATACATACCAATAATAATTTTTGAACACGAATATATAAAAAAAACATAATTTGCTATATTCTAGTATAGTTTTGCATTTTATTTGTTATGACTGAAAGAAACCGAATGAAATTACAAACTATGTAGTGTGTTCAACAACTCGTGTACATGTATAGTAAATGTACTGTATTTTCCCCATAAAAACAAAAGAATCTCACAATTTCGAAAACGGACAGTCTTGTAGGTACGACTTTCATTGCATTCAAGTCATCACCCCTTTTTTGTCAATGTCTGAACTAGTGCAATCTTTGGTGACACGGAGATTTATCTGACGGTAGTCTTCGTGCTTTTATAAGCACTACACACTGAAATATATCCTGAATATCAGCGATGTTGACACCTTCATCAAATCCAGTTGCTCTCTGAACACTACGATAAAGACTTTCCATTTTCGTCATTGTGAAATTCTTTGGTTTTTTGTGAGAAAAAATCCTGAAAAAAATGATTTTGACAAGATAATTTAGAAATTTATATTAAGAATAATTCATAATTAAAGAATATTACAGAAGAAGGATAATTTGCTATATTCTCTATATTTTTGACTTTTTTCTTGAATTATGATTGAAAGGAACTGAATGAAATTACAAACTATGTAGTGTGTTCAACAACTAATGTATGAACAATAACTTTAATAAATGAGATTTTACTCGGTAAAAATACTGTATTTTTCTGCATAAAAAACGAAAGAATCTCACAATTTCAAAAATAGACAGTCTTGTTTCATTCACACCCCCCTTTTGTCAATGTCTGAACTGATGCAACCTTCGGTGACACGGAAATTTACCCTACGGTAGTCTCCGTATTTTATAAGCACACTGAAACACCTGATTATCTGCGATATAGACACCATCATCAACCTCGACTGCTCTCTGAAACCCCTGTTACTATTAACCGTGTGGAAACGTAGTGAACTGAAGTTATGGAACGATTGAGCTTTCTCATTCAACACTACACTATAATAACCAATGGGTCTGTCCTGATATATTTGACATATCTTTGAGTTGTTTATGTAGGACACTTGCAACTGAAAGACAACCCCCGTTATCATTGTTTGTACGGAGAGTTTCGGCTCACGACACAGACACTGGCATTCCACGCCACATGGGCTATACCATTTGTTTTGTGTTTTGTCCTTTTTTTTGTTAGTTAGACACTCTTATTTAACCAGTCAAAATGCAACGTAATTTTTATTTTCAATCCTTCAGCCTACAAAATGCATTTTTGTGAACACAAAATTACATTTGTGTTTTATTTGACCCGCTGAAGCAGTGAGCCAGAGACAAATGCATAAACTGCAACAGGTTTTGATCATTTTTTTTATTTGTTATCAATGAGAAAGAGCAGTGAGACATGTTTTTTTTTAACCATTGAAGTTTGAAAAGCCGGTATGCCACCGCAATCAATGTAACTCGTTAACACTGGAATAGACTTGATTTTAGGCCAAGTTATCCGAAATCAAAATGATTTTAAA